TATTTCCTTTTAAGAATAAAGTGATTAAGTAAATAATTACCTATTTAATTAGGCATAAATAATTACTTTTTGAAAAAATAATCAGGCATAAATTATTCCAAGTAATTATAATAATAATAATAGTAATAATTAGGCGTAAATATTTACCTATTTAAAAAGGAAACAAAATATAAAAAATCTCCTGCACCGTCCCTTCCTTTTTTATCACGATCAAGTAATTAGGCAAAATTAGTTAGGAAACAAATTACTCCCTTCCTTTTTATGCATGCAAAATTTTCTTTAATTTATCATTTTAAATAGGTAATATTACACAATCAATCATAGCCGTATAACTTATTTGTTCCTTGATATCGACGGTGCAGGAGATGAGTGCATTGGGCGGGAAAATAATTCCCCTGCTTTTAAGAATAGAGTGACTAGTTTTCCCACCCACCACAAATTTTATTCTCTTCCCTCTCGTCTCTTCCTATTCCTCTCTCCACCATCATCTTTCTTCATCTTCCTCCTAATTTCTCTCTCTCTCCTTAGTCATCTTTCTCCGCCCTAGTCATCTTTCTCCACTTCCTACGCTCCCGCCGCCGTCCCCGCCGCTGCCCCGCCGCCGGAAGGCAGAGGATGCGAGTATGGAAGGGTTTTCGTCTACGATCTGCCGCCGATGTTTAACCCGGATTTGATTCCAAGGAACTTGACGGATCTGGATCCGTAGAATTGGCAGAGCGGGCAACATCAACTATGGATTGAGGAAGAAGACTCGGGCTTAACACCGCCGAGATCATGCCGATGAATGAATGTTGCAACGGCGTGGTCAGATCTTTCCGATGGATTGTGGGTGGACGGTCTGGAAAAGGAGCTCTCCTTTCAATTCCACAATTTATTAAAGATTTTTTTTCTTCTAGGATGTGATTTTGTTTTTTTAGCAGTCCATTTTTGAAAAAAAGTTGCGTGAGTGTTTGTTTTACGATCTGCAATGTTTGGGGAACTGGAGGAGTACTTTAGGGTAGGGGCATTTTGGGAAAGTCAATGCATATTTTACACTCCCTTAAAAATGGCATATAGTCAATGTGGGAAGATAGGACGGAGGGAGTATCATTCAATATACATTTTTGACAGAGGACTGTTTAAGAAATATATCCCAATTACTAAAAAACTATATATAATTATTGCTTATTGAGAACTAATTTAAAAAACACTTCATTAAAAAGAACCATTTTAGAAAAGTTACTCAAAACACAAAGAAAGTGTGAATATAGAGCACGTGGGGAAAAGGGAGGAGAGATTGAGTAGTTAGAAGTTATAACCTGAGATGCAAGTAGAAGAGGTGCCATGGGCCATGAATGAATTGAGTTGTTGAAAATGGGCCCAAAGTGGCCACATCAATCGGTTAAGCAACGGGTTCACGTGGTGATTTTAAAAGGCCGAGCCCACATTTCCCCCCTTTTGGAAACGCTCCCTTTGATCATCCACACCACGAGACACTCCACATTTTCTTTTTTTCCCTCTTTTATTTTATTTTCTTTTTCTTTTGATGAATTATTATGTTTTTCAAGTTGGGACAGATTAATTCTATGTTCTTAAAACCCAAACTCCAAAAACTTTAGAGAAGGGAGCTATGAAAAATTTTGTTTCTCAAGTGCATGCATAACATGAATGCGCAAGAGTCGTCACAATTTGTTTGGTCAATCTTCATACTAATTGGTCAACATTTGATTGGTTTTATTTATTATTCTCTTCTCAATCACTTTCCCAATTTATATGTGCTTCAAGTTCCCACTTACTTCGAACTCTCACTCACACTACGGTTGGAAAGGTAACATTCGCAATTTGACCAGAGAGCAAATTTACGGACTAGAGGTTCATTTATGGAAAAACTCTCATAATTGAGTGGTAATTCCGTGCACCCAAAGTCCACGCCACTTAATGTTTAGAAACAAACGTGTGAAAAGACTCGTTTCACCCAAGGTAATGTGCTTATTGTTAATCTTAATCTTAATTCTAATTCATACCTCAATTCTAATCCTAATACTAAGAAATCTACATCAATAGAGTCCATATAAGTTGGAGAAAAATACATTATTTACTCTCGAACTCTTTAAAAATTGCATAATTTACCCATAAACATTAAAAAGTGCATCGTTTACTTTTGAATTCTTTCAAAATTACACAATTTACCACTGAACATTAAAAAGGACACAAAATACCCCTGAACAATTTAAAACCTTGCATCGTTGGTTTAAAATGCTAGATAAAAAGTGTGTTGCTCCCATGCATGGAAATTGCAAGTATGATTAATCTGAGCCTTGTGAATTATCCAAAATATCCTTCCCCAAAATTGTCGTCTTTATTTAAATGTCTGGATGTAAATCGAGCAATTTTCGAAGAGTTCAAGGGTATTTAGTGCAATTTTTAATGTTAAAGGGTTAATTTTACAATTTTAGAAGAATTCAAAAATATTTGATATACTTTTTAATCTTCAAGGGTAAGTCGTGCAATTTTTGCAGAATTCAAGAATAAACGATGCACTTTTCTCGTATAATTTGAATAAATCTTAAAATTGCAGGAGCATTTTTCCTCAAACTTTTAATCATAAATTTTAAATATTGGTTAAACTAGTTCTTTTACCATATTAGACAAAGATAGATAAGGACTTAGGCCGTTGAAAGACCATTGAAGTGGTTAAACCAAATCAATCATACAAAGCATTCAAACTTGTCCATCATTCTTTTCGAGAACCTACGTTGAAATTTTGGCTGCTGTTTTGATACTTTAATTTATTTATTTTTTTGGAATATGAATTTTGGTTTGAACGGAAGGTGCAGAAGGTGTTCATGTATCAACTTGTGACATTATTTGTCAACAAAAAATAAGCATTCCGTCCACCTCCAAATTACACTTCAAAAGAATTTTAAAAATAAATAAAAAAATATTATTCCCTCTTTTATTTGTTTTTACGGTGAGTTCTAGTGATCCAAATTACGATTACACTCCAATGTCACTGTCATTTTGGAGTACTTTCGGTGCCTCTGTCATTTTAGAACACTTCTGATGCTCCGTTTGTAAAACCGTCAATTTTACCAATGGAGAACCAGAAGTGCCTCAAAATCGCAGTGGCACCGCTAGTGTCACCAAAAGTCGGTGTCACTAGAACCTTACTGTTGTTTTTAACTTCCTCTTTCATTCTTTTTTTATTTTTTCGGTAAAATACTTCTACTTTTGAATAAAATTATTAATATATCCAAATAAAATCATTACAATATGCTCTATATTAATTCTGGAGTAAATTTCATAAAAGATTCCCAGTTAGAGGTCGTTTTATATATTTAGTCCCTACATATCAAATATTACTAATTTAGTCCCCAATTATTATATTCATTTCCACGAATGGTCCCTTGTTAACATTTCCGTTAAGAATGTGGACAAAATTGTATATTCATACTTCTCTCTCCTCAATTAAGCTTCCTCCATCTTCTCGTACTCTTTCTCAAACTCGTCGTTGAGTTTGAAGGTCTTAAACCCAAAACTTAAATGATCGTTCCTCCAGTTAGACAAACAATTGAGAGAAGAGTGATTGATTTTGGTTTTGGGTTCAAAACTAGAAACTCAGTGACGGGTTTGGAAAAGGAGTGCAAGGGAGAAAGAAAGCTTAATTGAGGAGAGAAAACAGTGTGAATTTATAATTTTATCCACGTTTTTAATGAAAATGTTAATAAAGGACCATTCGCGGAAATAAATATAATAATTGGAGACTAAATTAGTAATATTTGATATGTATGGACTAAATATGTCAAATGACTTATAACTGGAGACCTTTTATGAAATTTACTCTTAATTTTGTTATTGATATAATATGTATTTAAATAATTTCTCTTTTTTATTCTTCGATGCTAAAAATATATAATAAGAAAATCAAATTACCAAAATAAATTTGTCACAAATCAAAATAAAAACTGTTTTAAAAGAAAGTGAAGTGTGGGGAGCCGCATTCGTTTTCTCAATAAGAGAATAAAGGAGCATGCCACCTTATTGCTACGTGTACTCAAAAATTGTATCTTATTTGTACACCGAAAGTATGCACAAACATTTCAATGATTCACACTGATACAAAGTGTTGGTGTGATAACAAAAATTCACACTGACACAAAGTATTGGTGCATTAACAAAAATTAGCATTAAACCAACACAAAATATTGGTGCATTTCTGCAGTGTACAAAATGATGTACAAATTCTTGGGGTACAAATAACTTTATTCAATAAAGAATTGTAAGTTTTATATAGAGATAAGAAAATTGTTGTTTTTATTTTTGTAAACACAAAGAATGTACGGAGTAATATAAATAATTAACTTTTAAATTGAAATTGAAATGACAAAACCATATCAAGCGTCACAGTCTTTCCTCTCTAGCTGACCCCATGATGTAGGTTAAACCCAATGGGGCATTATGCTACTACAAGATTTCACATAGAAAAATCACCCGAACCGGTTCGACTCAACAACGGTTTGGTTGCCAAGCCGAAGCCGCCACCAGCGGCCGGCTGTGCCACCCCAGCGTTAAACACCCATCTCTCTCTTCCACACTGTACCCTTCAGAGGAGAATAGAGTCAGTAACATGCTGGCTTGCTTGAAGGCATTGGAGCCGAGATTGAAAGCCCTGAAACCGGCTCGGACGAACCGGTCCTTCCACATGCCCAACGGCTCATGTCTCTCCACCCGGTCCATGCCCTCGCAACAAACCACATTGCAAATCTCTCTCTGTATGTGCATCTCGGCTAATGCTTTGTCCGGTTCGGCCGGGCAAGCCTCTAGGGAGTCGAACATGGTCGAGTAGTAGTACAAAGCTTCCGTGAACCGGTCGAGAAACTCGGGCCGGTTGTGGTTCGCCTCCTGCTCGACCACGGTCACGACTCTCGGGTTCAAGCTCTTGATCCACCCGAGCACGGTGTTGATGGGCCGTCCGCGGATCGGATCCGGCACGAGCAACTTGTGGAGTTGCATGATGGAGTTCACGGCCACGGCTTCGTTGGGGCCCACTTGCAGCATCCACGGCTTGACATCGTCAATCCGTGAAGCCGCCACCCCGCGGAAGGCAAACCGGACGTTAACGGACCGGGCCAATTCGGCTAATTTGAGACCGATTTCGCGTAACGAATCCCGACCGTCCGGAGAGGGAGGCCCGATTCCGGTTAGCCGGAGGAGCGGCGGCCCGCCGGGCCGTAAAGCCAGAGCCTGGATGAAGGCCGGCCATTGCAGGCCGTGCATCAGGTTGAAGTCGATGACGTGGACGCAATCGTGGCCGTTGAATGCCTCCAGTATGGCTTGATTGGCCGTGAAGTGGGCGAATTTCAAATACGGGGCGGCTTCGTAGAAATGGGAATAGAAAATCTCGTCCTCGATGGCCGATCCCGCCGGGACGATCCCCTGCGGCGGCGCGTAGAGTCTTCTGCTCAGTGCGTCGATGAAGTAGCCGGCAACTTTGCCGATGCCGCTGCCGGAATCGACACGCGTCAGGAGGAGCTGAAGTTCGCCGATCAAGGATCCGGCCAATGAAAACTCGCCACGGTGGAACGAGGCGGCGCATGTCATCAGCGCATGCACCAGCCTGATGCCGGAATCTTCCTGCTCCGCCGCGGCTGTAAGATGGGGCGGAATAATCCGGTGGTTGTTCACCGGGCCACATTGGGCCCACCCGATGGGGCCGGAATTGACAAAATCGGGATCCAGTAGGGCGGCGGAGAAGTCGGGCGGGTTGAGCTCAGAGATTAACGAGTCGACCCAGGACCCAAGGTCAGAAGGGTTGTGGTGAACGACGTCGTTGGCGAGATGGTGAGAGATCTCGGAGCCCATGGGACTGCTGACCATGAAATTCTCGAGATGCTCGAGGCGGAGAGCGACGGTGCTGAGTTGGGAAGAGCGGACGGCGTAGCCGGCGCCGGCGAGAAGGGAGTCGATCTGGTCGGCGGAAGCGGCGGAGCAGGAGGAGGAGGAGGAACTGCCGCTGCTGCTGGCGGTAGAGGACGAGTCATGTGGGGGACTCATTGTCATGGCATGAATTTCAAATATCGAAAACTTCGGGATTCCCGAAATCAAAGCTGGCTATGACATTTCAGAATTTAAAGAGAAATTTGTGAAATAAAAAAGAAAAAATGCTGGTGTGTACCCCTTTGTCCCCGACCCCTACATCACCACAAAAGACAAGAAACTAAAAAAAATTAAATAAATAAAAAATGAAATAAAATTAAATGGTAAATAAATGGGTGGGGAACAAATTGGGTACAGCAAATTTGGTATACCTGGTCATAAATAAATTATGGCGACGAAAAGGGAAGAGAGAGGAGAGAGAAAAGGGTTGAAGAATGAAAGGGAATCATAGATGCCCACGAGGGAGAAAATAGAAATAAAAAAGAAAATTAAAAATTGAAATGCCACACTCCCTCGGTCCTACTCTCTAATTTATTTGTCTAACTTTTTGATTAATTTTGATTTTAAATTGGAGAATGCTATGTGTACCCTGGAATGGTACACCGGGTGTACACCAACTTACCCCACCCCGTGTAACCCCCCTCTTTCCCACCCTATTCTTTTCTTTTTCCATACTCAGATCTGTCTAGTACCCCACCTCCGTTTCTTTTCCATTTCCCATCGTCTTTTTCTTGCCGACACAACATCGCCTCCTCCTTCCCGATTGTCACCGCACGTCATTTCCCTTCGTCTTAAACGGTTCGTCACCACCAGATCCTTCATGGTCCCCTCACTCGATTTCCCTCCCTCACTCAAATATCTCCTCACAAGTAGCGACTGAGCCAACCACCACTGTCGTCGCTACCGCCTTCACCGTCGCCATTAGGTAAGTTCATGGTCTTCTCTTTAAAAAAAATTCAATCAAATTTTTATTTTTCTGGTTTTTTCATCTTTAATATGGGAAAATTATTGGTTGCAATCTACTCAGGTAGGTGTGTAAAATTGCGTTTGAAATTTAAAGTTTTGTCAATGGCAAAGTCCAGATTTGCCTTGAGTATGGTTGGCCAGAAATTTATTACATTTTTCATTGAGGTTACCCAAACATTATGTGTCTTTGTTAAACAAGTACAGATATTTAGTGTATGTGATTTACTTACTCATAGATGAACATTGTTGATGACATTTATTTTTTCTAATAGATTGAGAAAAGTGCACGGATTTTTTCGGACCATGGCATCTTCCTCTTCGACTTCCAACTACCGTGTGAAGAAGGAGACAATGAGACAATATAAAGCAATTTCTTCTAACTTGAAGATGGCGAGGCCTGAATTAGATCTACGTTATGGTACGGTAAAGTGTGATTGTTTACCTCAATCAAGAAATTGTGTAATTCGAGTTGTGACTGACCATGAGAAGCCAAACAAAGGTAGGTTTTTTATACTTGTGATGACTGCGAGTTTTTTCTTTGGTGCCATCCACTGAAGGCTGATATTCGAGGTGAGCCACTGCCAATTGATAGCTCTGTAATGGGTCGGTTTGTTCGAAACTACGGAGAATTTGAGGAGGAGAGCTATTTACATGAGAATGCATGTGGAGCTCAAAACGAAGTGAATGCAGCTGTGCCCCGTGAGAATCATTGCAATAGGGGCGTGAATCTATATCAAACCATAAACCTCCTTTGCAAGTTGTTGGGTCTTGTTGTTGTTTTGGTTGCTCTTTTGAAGTAGGTTGATGTATTTAGTAGTGTTCTTGGGGCTGTGTAGTATTTTGAGATGCTGATGTTCAAGTACTTATGTACCAATGTTGTATGACTTCTGTTGAGTGAATTTGTGAAATTTGTGTAATGGAAGCTCATTGTTTTGTCAATGTTTTTTATGGCTTGTATATTCAGTTTTATGGCTTGTCCTTGTGTACCAATTTTTTGTTTCTGCCTGTATGCAAAAACAAGTCATCACAATGCAGACACTGATGAAGACAAACAAGACACTAAGCTGAGTATTTCGTCCAGCTAAATGAAAACCAAGAAAGACCTACCTTCAATGTTAATTGCTTGCCTGCTTCGTATCATGTATGTGAACTCCTACTCGCAGACGCAGAATGTCTGTTTTCAATGTTAATTGCTTGCCTGCTTCGTATTATGTATTTATCTTTCTGAATTTTTACTTTTTGTTCTTGTATTATGAACCCTAAGTTCTTAATTGCAATTTTTCATGTTTTGAAAAAAAATGTCAAATGTATGTGAACTTCTACTCACGGATGTAGAATGTCTGTTTTCAATATTAATTTCTTGTCTACTTCGTATCATGTATTTATTGAGACGCTCAAGGTGTTTTGAAGCCTGAAATGAGAGGCTTATTATCATATGTTCAACTAAGTAAGGAGTATGTTTTGGTCACACAGACAACAAGTGTCTGTAATTCATCGTAAACAGAAACTTATTGTCTGTAAAACCTAAATTAAAAATTACATATTTCAAATATACCAAATAATGCTATCGTAAAGAATGTTTCACAATTACTCTTGATTGTAAAAAAGAAAAAAAGTTATAATTACCAATGTTTAGTTACACAAACACTTAAATTCTATAATTCTTAATACACAGACATTTATTATTTGTGTAATTTAGATGAAAATTTCACCCTTCAAAACTATGAAATAGTACAATACCAAGAATATTTCACAAATTTTTCTACGTTTAAAAAAGAAAAGAAAAATTACAATTAATACTATTTAGTCACACAGATACTAAATGTCCTTATTTTCTTGAACACGGACATTTACTATTTGTGTAATCTGAATAAAACAGCACCACCATCTCTGCCATAATTTACTGCTCCGGTGACGCTACTAACGACAAGAAAGTCATTAACTAATTATGGCGGTCTGGGAGGAGCGAGCAATGACGAAAAAACAGGTGGCGGTGAAGGAATCGAAGGATTGTTCTTTGCCCTGCTCCGATCCAGATCTTGATGATGATGATGATGATGCTGCTGCTCTTGGATGCTTCTGGGCGGCGATGGGGAACTCACGTCGTGAACCTTCTGTTTATGAGAGAGAAGGAGAGAAATGAGGGAGAAGATGGGGAATTAGTGCGATGGAAAGAGAAGAAAAAGAAGTGGGGTTAGTGAGGGAGGAGGGGGGAGTATATGGTGTTCAATTGGGGTACACCTAGTGGTGTACCCCTAGCGGGACTGTTTTAAATTATATACTCCCTCCGTCTCTTATTGGATGTTACATGCGGAACAATATGTGCGATTTTATCATATTTTAAATTATTTCAATTACTAATTAGTACAGAAACAAAACGTATAAATTATACTACCACCGACTCAAAGTATTTTTGTCTATTTTTGATTTTCTTTCAGTTAACTGTTTTCAATCTTTGACTTAGAATTAAGTAATATATATTGTTTATTAAATAGATAAAATAATATTATAAAAATATTTTATATAATAAATCTAATAAAATTATTTTTGTATCAATATCTAATGTTATTTTGATTTTTTTGGAGGTCAAAGTTTATCAATTTTCACCAAAAAAGTAAAAAGTGGACAAATACTCTGGGACAGAGAGAGTACTATTCAAAAGTAAATAAAAAAATTTATAAAATAAAAAGTGATAAGAATAATAATTTCATCAAATTATTATTAATAAAATATACATACAAATAAAAGTTATTGAAAGACCATAATAGTGATAGTGGATCCATTTTAGGACGGATGGAGTATTATTTTAGATAAAAAAAATTTATGAAGCATACAATTTGAATATATTAAAACTATATCTTAAAATGAATTTAATTATATTATATTTATATTATAATTAAAAAAATTCTTACAATTTAAAATCAAAATTCACTTAGAGCACTGGTAATGGTCATGAAGCCCCGGGGCTTCAAACCTTCTCTCTCTACCACGTCAACTTTAACTTACACCCAAAATTCACTGGAAATGATATTGAAGCCCCGGGGCTTCAAATTGGGGCTTCAAACCTTCATTTTTTACATTTTTAAATATACATCTTCTAAAATTAAATTAATAAAATGTAACTAATTTATTATTTAATTAAATTGAAACATGAATAATAAAAATTACATTAATTAAATAAAAAAAGCGACAATAATTTAAATAAATATACATTAATAAAAAAGACTAAGGTAAATTATATTTCTCCTTGATCTCTCTCATTCTTTGCTAGTAGATCATTCGTCCAAACTATGACAATGTCGCGGGGTCGGTTTGCATGACTTTCATCTCGGCCTCCTGCTCCTTTAGCTTCAACTCCTTCTCCTTTAGCTTCAAAGCTTCAACCTCTCTTGTTCTTGGAGATTGAACACCCGAAGTTGTTCAATCATTGCCCGGCCGATTTCGTCGCGGGGAGAAGCGGAAACAGAGGCGGACCCTCCCAAACCAGAGGCAATGGATTTTGCCTTCTTTCTTCTGATCGGCCGTGGAATGGGGTCCTCGTCATCGGAACCCGCAACGTTGAAGGGAGGGATTTGATCGGTAGAACCGATAGTCTCGTCGACTCCAACCTCGGCATCGACGGTGGATCTTTTCCGGAACGATCCGCCGTCGGGATTGTTGAGTTGTTGCCACTCCGGGGAACGACTCAAAATCCTCCAAAGATCGATGGGCACCTTACCTTGGTGCCCGTCGTCTTGATACCGGGTCGTGGCAAACCGGAGAACATCGGCGTCGTTCGTACCACTCCTCTGGGACCGGGAGCATTCCTCGTAAACTCCGATAAACTTTCGGACTTTACGGTTGATGTGGCTCCATTTGGAAGTGAGTTGGTCCCGAGTTCGGTAGGAGTCATCCTTGTTCATCTCCATGAAGAACTTCTCCTCGATACGATCCCAAATCCCATCCTTCGTTTGCTCCGAACCTTTAAAAATGTATTACACAATTTTTTTAGACACCATTAAATATAATATATATAAATAAAAACATAAATATATTAGAAAAAATAAATTTTTTACCAATGATAGGATGCTCGGAGACGTCAACCCAAGCCGACGCCAATAAGCACTCCTCCTCCGGCGTCCACTTTTGGATTGACCGTGCCGCCTCGGTCATCGTGCTTTTGGCTTTGTGGCTTTTACGGCGTGTACTTTTTTCCGACCCAGGCGGTTCCGGTTGAGTCTCCGGAACCGAATCTCGGTCGACGTACCCCGATTGTTGCGTCTCGTAGATCGGCGGTCGATAACCCCACTGTTCGTAGAACCAGATCGCGGTGTCGCTCGACGGGAGATCGTCGGGAAAAAAGCCGGAGCCGGAAGGATTCATGTTGAAAATTGGGAGGGGGG